TCATATTTATCTCTCCAGTTCCACCTTGTATTGTCATCAATTTATCCAGCACTCATTCTAACGACATAATTGTAAAAAGTCCATGAAATTTTATTATATGTATCAACAGCCTTCATACAAAAGCAGACACGACGGAACAAACCATATACTCTCCTTCTCCCACCCCTCACCCTTTTCCCGCTAAAGATAGAAGTAGACCAAAAATACTTGCATAGATTGACTCACGACACATATAAACTCAACTTCGTAGATATCTCGTTAATAGACATTCATAATACACCAAGCACATATCATTTATCTTGTACATAACACTCATCATGACATCAACATCACATATCATCAGTCCATCACCTACTCTAGAGTCGTCTCCTCTTGATTCTCATATATCAGACGACGTTGCTGGAATGATCGCTATAGTATCATTCAGCACATTAAGTAACATCGCATGCGTATCGACGTTCGCATGGATATATTTCCATAGATACGATTACAAGGGGACCACGATCACACCTCTAGTACTGAATTTGCTGATGGCTGACTTTCTACAAAGCATTGGATTTATGTTAAGTTCTCACTGGATAGTCATCGGCAAAATAGTACCAGGCGCACTGTGTAGTTTTCAGGGCATCATTATCAACATTGGTGATGTTGCTTCTGGTATGTAAAATAGGAAATGGAGGGGTGGGGGGAGAACGGATTAATAGCAGATAGTCAGATATGTGCATGTGCGGGGGAGGAGGTGGAAGCGTATGTTTTCTCTTTGTATGAAACCGAACCTTAACAAAAACTTTCGATACAGGTTTCTGGGCACTAGCAATATGTGTTCAAACTTTTATATATGTCGTCGCCAACCTTGACTACTCCAAATTTGCCATCATCAGCATGATTATAATCTGGCCTTGTAACATCTTCCTCGCAACTGCCGGCCTATTCATTTCCACTCCTTCCGAACCATTCTATAATAGCGCTGGTGGCGCATGGTGTTGGATCTCAACAAAATATTCGATATACAGGATCACGTTCCATTATGGCATCATACTCTGTGTGGCAGCATTGATGTTTGTTTTATATGCAATAATATATGCGAGCTTGTTCTGGAGACGAAGAGTCTTGTCACAAACAATCGGAAGACAGAACGCACCATTGGGTTTAAAGAACGTTGCAAACAAATTGGTGTGGTACCCTATTGTATATATTG